TCCGGAACGTCGTAATCGCCATCCTGCGTGGGAGAGTGGAGCCACGCGTGGCCCCGTAGATGTGTCACCAACGAGGCCCGTCCGTGCAGTGCAGCTCCCCCTTGGAGTCACCATACACGAGCCGCCCTAGGAAGCTGTCGCCGTAAAACCTGGGTGCTTAGCCGCATTCTCGGAGTGCAGCCACACCCGCAAGAATCCGCAAGAACGCCAGGGCTCGAGCGGGGCTCCGAAGGTGGCCGTGGATCCATCTATCCTGCTTTGAAAACGCATGCAACTGCCTCCCAGTCCGAGCGTGTCTGGGCCTGCCGCCAGTTTGCTGGAACTCCTCTTTGAGCTTGCGTGGCGCCACCACCCTCACCTCGAAACTGCGCACTTGCTAAGACTTGTTTTGGCAAGTTTCACAGACCTCTTTCGAGCTCGCCCTCAAAAGGCCAACAGGAAAGCGGGCGCTTCATAAAGCCGTGGGCCTGCGCTGTCGCTGTCTGCGGAGCCAGAGGCCTCATGGAAAGCCATGTTGATTCTCCACGACGGCGCGAGATTGGGTGTTAGGGAGCAGCTCATCAGCAGGAGTCTTGCTACGCAGCAGGCAACGAGAAGTCTGCATTGAAGGACGGCCAATTCGAAGATCGAGTCCGCTGACGATAGCCTTGAAACTTCCTGCCGGTCAGAGGTGAGAGGGCGCTCACAACCCCCGAAGAATCAGTTCAGGGCAGGAGCCATGTCAACGCGGCCCAGAAGCTCACCTTGCCAGCAAGGACAATGAGGAGCAGTGGCTCACATCTTATGTTCCATCTTGTATAGACTCCACATCAAGGATTGTGCCCGCCGGGGCAGTTGGCCCCTTCGTCCCTAGGTTTATGTCCCAGGAACAGTCAATACGATAGCCTGCTGCTGTAGATTTGCCGGTCTACTTCGATTTCCTCAAATCTCCCTAGAGCTGGCCCTTTGTGCACCATGCCTTCACGGCGGCCATCTTGGGCAATGGCCGGGAAGGTTCAAAGCAGCGTTGGGGATTTCAAGACGATTTCACTTAACTCTTGGCAACCAGTACTGACGGCACTGTGCCGGGGGTGGAGGGGCTCGGAAGTCAAGATTGGGGCTGGTACTGTGTAGCTGAACATGCTGATAAATCCGTACGAGTCCAAGCTCCTGACAGCTGTCTGGTCCTGGTTGCCTACTCAATTCTGAACTCGGCAGCTGAAGATATTGAGCTAAACCCACAGCGAGATCAGGGCAACTTGGCAACCTGCAAAGTGCAGCGCAGGTCTCGGCAGTGGAGATGCGTACTGTACTTGCAATCTGCAGACTGCACTCATCTGCACTCCTCTTGGTACTTGGTGCTCTTTATGCCTGCACCCTGACCCAGGCCTGGAGCAGTAGGGATTTTTTCGGACATGGAGAAAACAAAGCACAGCTAACAGGGAAAGAAACATTCGCTGCACGTACACCGACGTTGAAACCAGATCGTCGAGGATAACAAACATCCCAGCAGACTTTTTGGCGCAGGCGTTATCAGCACCACTGCTGATAGCCATTGTTCACTGCGAATATGACCTGCCATGCGTTCGTCATATCCCTGAAACCTGGGTCTTCATGATACCGTCAGTGCATCGAACAAGTTGACCAGGCTACAGGTCTCCAAGACTGAACTCATCTGCTGCAAGCGCTCAACTCAACATGAGCATTTCTCACACACAATTTCTCGTTTCTCGGGCCTTGCCACCAATACCCATCTCGATGCAGTCCCGATGTGAAACGACCTCTGTCACGCAGAACTGAGATTGGCACATGGCACAGCGCAAGCCTCCGCAAGGGGAAACGGAAAAGGCCGCGGTTTGCGTCCTCTTACTGAGAAAGCTGCTCCCACTGGAGTCTGCATAATCCAAAGACCAGTGTTGTACCTGGAGCAAACGACAGCTGCTGCAAGCATTCGCACGTTTGAGCCCGCAAAGGTTTCTGGATATCCTGCGGCTCCGTTCGTAATTCCTGTTGAAAGGTTCGAGAAATTTGATGAAGAAAGGAAACATTACATGTCGCTGCAAAACATTCGACAGACAACGACTCATAACAGTCCAAGCTCTGCCCTCCTTTCCTGCTCTCCCCCTCCACCCCCAAGGCCTGTCCCGTTCCCTGTATAACAATTCGGCAACCCGCACCCCCCCATGAACTACCGACTCTCGTTTTGTATCGTAAAAACCGTGTTAGACCTGCTTTTCCGGCAGGTCCGGATTCTGTATCTTGCGAAGACTGCCAAAATCAAACTCAAATTTTAAGGAGAAGTGCTAGAAAACTCGTTCAAATTCGACGTGAGCACGCACTCAACGGCAACGCTGTACTCTTCCAAA